CTCCTGGGTCTCCTGCCATAGCGTTTCATTTCATTTAAATGTCGACGGATAGTTCGCGCTGACACTGATGCTCCCTGAGCCTGCAGGACAGCTTGAATGTCTTTGGAACATGTTTGGGGCTGCTTATCCACCATCCGGACTATTCTGCGTTGCAATCTTTCATCAATTTTCCTCATCCGTCCACGACCAGGGAGATTAGCTACAGTGCCATGGGTTGCAAACTTCTTGATAATGTTGCGCACTGTGGACAAAGGCAAATCTAGTTCTCTGGAGATGGACTTGTAACCTTGAGATTGTTGATATTTTGCCACAATTTTGGTTCTCAGGTCCTCAGACAGTTCTCGTCTCCTCTTTCTGTTGTCCATGCTTAGTGTGGCACAGACAGACACACAATGCAAAGGTTAAGTGAACGTCTCTCCTTTTTATCTGCTTTCAGGTGTGATTTCTATATTGCCCACACCTGTTACTTGCCCCAGGTGAGTTTACAGGAGCATCACATGCTTGTAACATTCTTATTTATCCGCAGTTGTGAAAGGGTGCCAATACTTTTGTCCAGCCCATTTTTGGAGGTTTGTGTGACATTATGTCGAATTTGCTTTCTTTCCTCCCTTTTTTTGTTTTGTCCCAATACACACAAAGGGAATAAACATGTGTATAGCAAAACATGTGTTAATGCAATACGTTTCGTGAGAAATACATGATTTCCTGGAGAAATATCAAGGGTGCCAACAATTTCGGCCATGACTGTACTTCACCTCTGCAAGCCAAACTCCAGACACACTTAAAGGATACTTTCCTTTTACACAAAAATAAACTTTTTTTTGCAGGTAAAAAAAAAAATAATGAATTTTTGTCTGCAGGAGCCTGTAAACCATTACACCAGTGAGCAGCAGCCCCTTGGGGCCATGCAGATCTGTCCGTATATCCGCCTGCTGTACGAGCAAACAGATATACTGACAGGAAGATTCAATGAACTAACACCGCGCTGAGGTAGTTAAGGCTGTCAGGACTTGCAGTTCATTCATTCATTCACAGAACTCTGAATGAATGATGCAGCCGTGTGGTTTTTAAAGCGGACAGCTAGTATGGGGAAATTCTCCCTGTACTTCTGGAGGGAGGGGGAAGCATTGGGACATATTCTCCAAGGTGAACTTATCCTTTAACCACTTCCAGATCGGACACTTTCCCCCCCACTTCCAGACCGGACACTTCCCCCCCCCCCCCCCTTCCAGACCGGACACTTCCCCCCCCCCCCCCCCCCCCCTCCTTCCAGACCGGACACTTTCCCCCCCCCCCTTCCTGACCAGGGCAATTTTCAGCTTTCAGCGCTATCACACTTTGAATGACAATTGCGCGGTCATGCAACACTGTACCCAATGAATTTTTTACCATTTTTTTGAGACAGATAAAGCTTTATTTTGGTGGTATTTATTCACTGCTGGGATTTTTTTTTTTTTGCTATGTAAAATGAAAAAGTCCAAAAATTTTGAAAGTGTTTTTTTTATAAAATTTTGCAAATAAATATTTCATCAAATCTTAGCCAAAATTTATTCCGTTATTTTATTAGTAAAAAAAAAAAATCCAAATTAGTTTATAACCAAAAATAATTTTTAAACTTTTTTTTTTACATACGGTCCCCCTAGCAGTACAGTGTCACCATGGTGACACTATACTACTTGTGGGGGGGTGATGATATTTTTTTTTTTTTTTTTTACACTGCTTGCTTTTACATCCTATATGGGTGTAGAAGCAATCATTTCTCTTTCTCTCTGTCTGCATTCTTGCACTCATTGAGAAGTACTGAGTGAGCTGTGACTGGTCACAGCTTGTCACATGGTACAAGGCTGTTGTGAATAGCCTTGTACCATGTGACCTCTGTGATCATTCACAGATTTCACACGTAGTAAGCAATGATGTCAGAAGTGACATCTTGCTTACTACTTTGCATGTCATCACTGATTGGCCAATCAGTGATCACATGATCGGGACCTCGTACAGAGGTCCTGTCCGACAATCGGTGCTTCACTGTGTCTGGAGGACACAGCGGGCACCGGATCGCGGTACTGCACACTCCCAGGGAGCGCGCACAAGCAGGGTGCAGGGAGGCTGTTTATAAATGGCCACCCGACCCTGCACTGCCACCATCTGGCCGTTTATATACAACGGCCGGTTGGGAAGTGGTTAAGCCTTGTACACATGATGACAATATCGGACGAATGATCATCGTTTTTTTTTTTTCACCTGTTAGTCTCATATCGAAAATGAAGAGGTTACTAAAGTTACAAAAATTTTCGTATGACAGAATACAACTTCAAAAGGGATGTAATGTATTTCTCTTTCATTTCGAGAATGTGCGGTCTTGATCACCTGATTTTTTTTCAGATGAATCCTGTACTAAACATAAAAAAAAGTTAATTCTGGTATCGTATGAAAAAAATTTTCATACTTTTCCCTTCGGATAATTTCATATTAAACTATTGTGATCGGCTTTCAAAAGCTGTGTACGATCGATCAGTTTATCGGGCAATCGCTGCACAAACGGCATTGTTTGTCCAATTTTCCCATCATGTGTACTAGACACAAGTTATGGATAAATAGCAGTAACCTGACAGATGGTCTCTAACCCCTCCCTGGTCTGTGTCCCCAATAAAGGAACTCTCATACTACTTTATTAATAAAAATAAATACAGAAATCAAATCCTGGGGACGTGTACTCCATGCATGTTCTGGAGGAGAGAGAGAGGCAGAAACACACCCTCAGTGTTGAGGTCTATGGAACCTTCAGCACTTGCATGCAGGAAGGCAAAAGTACAAAGGCAGCTCTACTAATTCCGGTATGTAATCATGACGATTTGCTCAAAGGAAAAAAAAAAAAAAAAAAAAAAAAAGGCTGCATGGTGGCTTTTTTTTTTTCTCGACAACAGGATTCATAACTGCTTGATTGCTGGTAAGTTTTTAACATCTGGCGTTGGGTGTAAGTAGAGTGGAGAGGGGATAGATCCATCTGTCCCTTCCTATCCTGGTAAAATTATCACCCACACATTTCTCTTACAGGTGTCAGACAGAAAATGAAAAATAAATCTCTGCAATGAAGTAAAAAAAAACACCTCCTCCCCCAAAATATTAAACTCTTCTACATCTATTGATAAACAGATATTAATAGTCCCAATTCCTTACCTGAAACTGTTGTCATGTGACCAATTGCATCCCAGTTCTACACTGTAATGTGGGAGGGTGATGTGGACACAGCCCATTGGTTGTTAAAGTGTTACTAAACCCAGGACCCCGCGCCTCACCATGTCCGCTCTCCCCGGACCCCGACCCCGCCCTCACCATGTCCGCTCTCCCCGGACCCCGCCCTCACCATGTCCGCTCTCCCCGGACCCCGCCCTCACCATGTCCGCTCTCCCCGGACCCCGCCCTCACCATGTCCGCTCTCCCCGGACCCCGCCCTCCATGTCCGCTCTCCCCGGACCCCGCGTTCACCATGTCCGCTCTCCCCGGACCCCGCTCACCATGTCCGCTCTCCCCGGACCCCGCTCACCATGTCCGCTCTCCCCGGACCCCGCGTTCACCATGTCCGCTCTCCCCGGACCCCGCGTTCACCATGTCCGCTCTCCCCGGACCCCGCGTTCACCATGTCCGCTCTCCCCGGACCCCGCGTTCACCATGTCCGCTCTCCCCGGACCCCGCGTTCACCATGTCCGCTCTCCCCGGACCCCGCGTTCACCATGTCCGCTCTCCCCGGACCCCGCGTTCACCATGTCCGCTCTCCCCGGACCCCGCGTTCACCATGTCCGCGTTCACCTCTCCCGGACCCCGCGTTCACCATGTCCGCTCTCCCCGGACCCCGCGTTCACCATGTCCGTCTCTCCTCTCCCCATGTCCGGTCTCTCCCGGACCCCGCGTTCACCATGTCCGTCTCCCCTCACCTCCGGACCCCGCGTTCACCATATCCGGTCTCTCCGGACCCCACTCTCACTATATCTGGTCTCCCACAGTACACAGAACATGGAAATGCAATTATTTTAGTAAATATAAACTGCTAAATATCTTTTATCATCAGCTGTTAATAGTCTTGTGACTTCAGCTGAGCACTGGTTAAAGCTCGTAGGAGGAGTTTTTCTTTCTGCTCTAGGAGGATGCAGAAACCCTGACCTCTGTCTGGACAGTGCTGATTGTACTCACTTTTGTTGCCAGCGGATTAGACATGAATGGCGGTGTGTTGAGATATTTTGAGGGGACATCAAATTTACATGTTATACAAGCTGTACACTGACTACGTCACATTGTAGCAAAGTGTCATTTCTTCAGTGTTGTCACATGAAACGATAGAATCAAATATTGACAAAAATGTGAGGGGGGGGGGGGGGGGTAACGACTCACTTCTGGGAGATACTGTATGTCATGACACAAGGGTTTGAGCCAAGATCAGTTGGTTGCAAAGAAAGCACCTTGTGCTGACCGTTCCCCATTACTAGAAGAGGTGCTGCGGATTCTCCGGTGACAGCAGAGAAGTAGATTTTTTTTGGAAGTACTAGTCTAGTTATAGAGTGGAGTTCCACCCAAAAGTGGAATCTCCGCTGGGTTGCCTCCCCCCATCCACTGCCATATTTGGCACTTTTTTTTTTTTGAGGGGGAGAGAGGTGGATACCGCTTCAGTTCACCGCAGCGAAGTGAGCTGGAACTTCGGCCCCCTCCTTCCTCTCGCAGTCTTCTGGGACACTTCACAGGTCACAGAAGGCTGCCGGACCAATCAGGATGTGCAGTAGGCACCCGGATGAGAAGCCGCAAGATGTCACAGGCTGGTGCCCACATTTGAGATGCTGGCCCCTGGCGGAAAAGAGGGAGAATGGACTGCATGGGTGAGCACAACGCTGGACCCCGGGACAGGTGAGTGTGTGTTTATTAAAAGTCAGCGCTACAGTTTTTGTAGCGGCTGACTTTCAATAAAACACAAAAATGACTGGAACTCCACTTTAATTATCATAGAGTATATATTAGGAAAGCCCTGAGTGTGGGGGAAGGGCAATGCATGGCTGACCTGTAATTGGGGGCTTCTTATACTGTGCGCTCTTCAGATGCTCCTCCACCAGTTTGGGGGTGACACATATGACATGCTGTCCCTTCCAGTATTTCACCATGTTCAGTGACTGCAGAGTGCCGATGATGTCATTCTGAGTAATACTGGTCATACGGCTGAAAGGGAAGAACAAAAAGGGTCTCAGTTTCTCTATATAAAAAAAAGGAAACCAGTCCACCAATTGACCATTCCTGCAACCCTCACCTGAGATCCTTGATAGACAGTGTCCCCCGGAAGTCCCGCAGGATCTCCAGCAGCACCCAGGACCAGTAGCTGCGGTAACTCAGTTTGCCCAGATCGGACAGCGGCTTTTCCGGTGAGCCCACCGTGCTCTCCAGCTTGGACAGCTCGTAACCTGGAGAAAGAGGGAACCCGATGGACATACATCTTCTTACTGTTCAAGACTTGGCCAAAGGTCACCTTTCCTTCTACTAATATCCCTTTCTGAAAATCTAGCGGCTTGTTTTTCTAGTAAGAGAACACTGCCTGCATGCTTGTTGGCAGCCTGTGACTAAGGCAAACCCATCTATGCTAGTAGAGAGGGAGAGGTGTGTCCTTTGAGTCACTTAACAGTCTCTCTGCTAAAAAAATTTAGAGGGGATGATGCTATTGCTTGGAACCAACTAACCACAAGCATTTAATATGAAATGTTAATATTTCATATCTATCACATTAACCACTTCCCAACAGCCGTTGCATATAAACGGCCGGACGGTGGCAGTACAGGGTCGGGTGGCTGTTTATAAACGGCCTCCCCGCACCCTGCTTGTGCGCGCTCCCTGGGAGCGCGCAGCACCGCGATCCGGTGCCCGCTGTGTCCTCCGGACACAGTGAAACACCGATCGTCGGACGGGACCTCTGTACGAGGTTCCGATCATGTGATCACTGATTGGCCAATCAGTGATCACATGCAAAGTAGTAAGCAAGATGTCACTTGTGACATCATTGCTTACTACGTGTGAAATCTGTGAATGATCACAGAGGTGACATGGTACAGGGCTATTCACAACAGTCTTGTGCCATGTGACAAGCTGTGACCAATCACAGCTCACTCAGTACTTCTCAATGAGTGCAAGAATGCAGACAGAGAGAAAGAGAAATGATTGCTTTTACATCCTATATGGGTGTAAAAGCAATCACTGTAAAAAAAAAAAAATCTTCATCACCCCCCCACAAGTAGTACAGTGTCACCATGGTGACACTGTACTGCTAGGGTGACAGTATGTAAAAAAAATAAATAAAAATAAAAAATATAAAAAAACAAAAAGTAAAAAAAAAAAAATGTTGAAAAATTATAAAATTTTTGTTTTTTTACTAAAAAGATAACAGAATAAATTTTGGCCAAGATTTATGATGAAATATTATTTGCAAAATTTTATAAAAAAAAAAACACTTTTTTTCAAAATTTTGGGACTTTTTCATTTACATAGCAAAAAAAATAAAAATCCCAGCGGTGAATAAATACCACCAAAATAAAGCTTTATCGGTCTCAAAAAAATGGTAAAATATTAATTTGGGTACAGTGTTGCATGACCGCGCAATTGTCATTTAAAGTGTGATAGCGCTGAAAGCTGAAAATTGCCCTGGTCAGGAAGGGGGTGAAAGTGTCCGGACTGGAAGTGGTTAAAGATACATTATGTTTTAGTGTGGAATATAATACAAAAAAAAAAAACTACACATATCTAACAAACAGGTAAAATGCATATATGTCCAGCTGAATTTTTTATTTTGCTGAATTGAAACAAGCATTACAAGTACTAGATAAGTCATACAAAGACACTCTCCATGGTTATATGTCACTCCCTCCAGAGTTGGTTGTGGCCAGCTCAGTGGATTGCTGTAGGAAAGTCCTGGATTCTTTCTTGGATACACAGAATATAACTGGATGTAACATTTATAGGGAAAGTTGATCCAGGGAATATCCGATTGCCTCTCGGGGGATCAGGAAGGAATTGTTTCCCTGCAGGAGCAGATTGGATCGTGCTTTGCTGGGTTTTTCTGCCTTCCTCTGGATCAACTGTGGGTGTAGGATTATAACTTTTTTTTTTTTTTAATGGTTGAACTGAATGGACTTTTGTCTTTTTTCAGCCAGACTAACTATGTAACTGCTGTGTTTCAACCAATGGTCTAATAGCAGGTTAGACCCCAGAAAGCCTGTGACATGGCGTGGATCTGTATGTGTGCTTACATAGGTGTCAAATACACACAGTTACATACAGGGGGTTAGACAAAAAAATATAACACTACATGATTTGTAGGTGTGAAAGTGACAATATGGTTTGCGGTGATATGGTTTGCGGTGAAAGTAGAAGTGATGTAACATTGTTTTGCTTCCGCTGTGTGATGAGACACCTAGCTAACAGGTGGGAAGCCTCACTTTCCTCATTCACTGCGTGCGCTGCTAGTAATACGGAGTCATGTCAGAGCTTACTGAGCTTCAAAGGAGGACAAATTGTTGGTGCTGCTTAGCTGGTGCTTCTTTGACTGAAGTTGCCAATCTATTGGCTGTGCAGCGAGGTCAGGTATCAAAGGCTATGACGGCATATACAGTTTCTGAAAAAACGGCGTCTGATAAGCATATCAGTTCAAGTACGGTCGACATGGTCAACTGACCGAAAGAGACAAAAAAAGGACATTGCGCAGGATTGTGACCCGGAATAAAAAAACAACTGCTGCAAAAATTACTGCGGAGCTCAATCTCATTCTTCACGGGACTGAGATTGAGCTCTGCAGTCACTTTTTGCAGCAGTTGTTTGCTTTCTCCGGGTAACAAGCCTGCACAACTTCCTCGGTCAGTTGGCCGTGTCAACCGCGCTTATGCTTATCAGACCATGTTTTTCCACAAACTGTATACGCCGTCATAACCTTTGATCCTGTACCTTGCGGCACAACAAATAAACTGGCAGCTTCATTTACAGAGGCACCAGCTAAGTAGCACCAACAATCTGCTGTCTTTGAAGTTCAGTAAAGCTCTGACATGACTCTGCATTACTAGCAGCGCATGTAGCGAATGAGAAAAGTGAGACTTCCCACCTGTTAGGTGTCTCATCACACAGTAGAAGTAAAAGAATGTTACATCACTTCTGCTTTTACAAACATGTCACTTTCACACCTGAAAACCTTTCATGTTTTTTTCTACCCCATTCAACAGAAAATGATCACTTTGCAGCCACACCTGCAAAACTGTTACATGTATGTGTTTCTATGTTTTTTTCTGCAGCCAAATGATCCCTGTGCAGCCAAATGATCTGTTATTGCAGCAAATGATCTGTTTGTGCAGCCAAATGATCTGTTACTCTGTGCAGCCAGATGATCTGTTACTCTGTGCCAGATGATCTGTTACTCTGTGCAGCCAGATGATCTGTTACTCTGTGCAGCCAGATGATCTGTTACTCTGTGCAGCCAGATGATCTGTTACTCTGTGCAGCCAGATGATCTGTTACTCTGTGCAGCCAGATGATCTGTTACTCTGTGCAGCCAGATGATCTGTTACTCTGTGCAGCCAGCTTTGTGATTTAGACATTTTCCAAAATGCACAGCAAGTAACACAGGTTCTGATTAACCAAAAATCAGCTTCCTGTGTCACCTCTCTGCCTCCTCATTGGACAGCGACCCATCATCAACCCCTCTAATTCTGAATCTCTGATCAGAAATGAATTGCCCTGGGAAGCTGTAAACCAGAAAGTAGCAGCGTGATCTTACTGACTGGCAAAGAGTCTACAATGACAAGTTCTTTGGCCAGCAGAAGACTACACAAGTATTTCACCCAAGCGATTTAACCACAAGTTCCATGTTTGTCTTCTAATCTGCTTGCATTTTGTTACCAAATGCAGTGCCCTATATCTCCTATGGTGAGCGGGGCAGAGAAATATATATTCCTGATAATCGTATATATGTGGCACAACTGAGAAAGACGTCACTTACTAAAAGCAATGAGGAACTTTCCATAGCCGCGTCTCTGATACGGCGGGAGTGTGAGGATACAGGCCACATTATTTCCATCCGGGGACTCCTTCTCCTGAAATTAAACAGCATTTCAGTCACCCCCTTTAAAATATAGGCATCTGAAAGAAGAACTGTGTGTGTTGCCCCATCACAGACCAACATTAGAGTGCAAACACTGGAATGTAAGGAAGTCACACAGGGGAGGTATATTGACAGCTATAAACTTTTGTTTATTAAAAGTCTTACAAACAACATAATAAAAAACATATTTACATAAATACAGAATAAATTGTAAAATATATATATATATATATATATATATATATATATATATATATATACACACATACATACATACACATATATACATACATACATACACACACACACACATTTTTTTATACACACACATACACACATATATATATATATATATATATATACACACACACACACACACACACACACACACACACACACACACATATTGTGGCAGTGCGGTGTCCTGCCATGGTCAAACTCAAGTTGAAAACCCTGGATTCTCAACCAGGCAGGTTGAGGGGCTCCAGAGAGTTAATGTATTGCAGAGGAAACTGACTTTTCGGTTTCCTCATTTTATTTATTAAGTTTGTTTTATCTGGAGCCTGGAGATTTCAAAGAGATCTGGGAGGGATGAAATCTCCAATCCGGGGTCCGTGTTTTGAGAACCCCCAGCCCACTGATTGCACAGGTGTGTGCAGGCCTTTTTATAGAGTCCTAACCATGGTTCTGGGCTCCACCCCAGCAGTTAGGAGTCAGGCGGGCTCCACCCCGGCAGACAGGAGGTCTCTGCCGTGGAGTCAGGTGGGCTACACCTAGGAGAGGTGGAAGCCAAAAGCAGCAAGGGGCTGCTACAGAATAGCTGTGTGCTAAAGGTTCGCTGGGTGCCAAAAGAACCTTTTGGGAAGAGTCTGCAGGAGGCAGACTTAAAACTGCTTGCAAGCCAGGAGGCTGAATACTATTAATTTGCTTGATGATGGATACCCCTGCGTGGGAAGAATTCTTGTTTATTTGAACTTTCTTGTAAATAAAAGTGGGCTAAAAAGGCCCTTAAAGAAAGCGAGTAGCTGTGTGCGTTTTAAAAGGCTCTACCACCTTGAAGCGAGTTCCCACAATATATATATATATATATATATATATAGCTATATATATATTATATATATATATATATACACACATACATACACACACACACACACACACATACATATATATATATATTTTTTACAAACACACACACACATTTTTTACAAACACACACACTTTTTTTTTTTTATTTAATTTAAACATACATAGCTTACTTCAGCATAGAAAATGTATATATATAAATATATATATATATATATATATATATATATATATATATATATATATATAGCTGTATATTTCACACGTCTGATTTTTGCAGGCGTGTTTTGAAGTAAGGTCACAGAAATGGATATGTGGACAGACTGTACCGACAACCTCCATTTTCCTTGGTCCTACCTCCCCTGTTATATTACTACAGTTGTAAAGGGTGTCTAAATAGGACTATGCTGTCCATTAAAGTACCAGTATTACACCCAATGCACTCACTGCTTAGTAACAGGCCTGGCTCACACACACACACTCCTCCCCTTTTATGCCACACAGGTATACACTAGTGTAACTGCAATGAGAAAAATATATTATTATTATTAATAATACGCACAGGCTCAATCACTTCTCTTTGTTCTTGAAAAGGACTGAACAACTATTTTCATTAAAAAAAAAAAAAGTATATCCAAAAGACACACACACACACACACACACACACTTATTTATGTATGTCCTGCCTGGGTCACACGTGTGCGGGCAGGACACTGCATGTGATGCAGATAGAAAAAGCGCACTGCATTCTTATTTAAATCAAATGCAATTCTTTGCAGTGTGATTGGAGCCCATTCATTTTGTATGGGCTCAATTCACACTGCACCCGCACTAAAAAGTTGTCTTTTTCCCCCACACCGGAATCGTATCACATGGGTGTTCAACACCTATACGATCCAATTCTTGCAATTGCACTGCGTTTTGTGACCTGTTTTGGGGTGACATTAATTTAACATTCACACCGGTGGCCGACTGCATGAGCAGAGTGCAAGTACAATGCGGTGTGGGAAACGCTCAGGATTTGCTGCGTTTCCCACACCACATATATGTGAACCAGGGCTCAGTCTGAAGTTGTATGATGAAGGAATGATGTGGGACAAGGTGTCATGGGCCCACTCTCTGAGCACAGCATCCTGCACTCACAGGATATTGATGCCAAAAGCAGCTATGATGTGGACAATGCAGACTGCTGACATGGCAACATTGCCAACCTATGACTTTCCATAGAACTAGACAGCATTATGGGTTACATTACCTTGGAGAAATAGCCAACGATGTGGGCCCCTTGTCGGTCCACTTCGGTCAAAATGTAGAACACGAACGGCTCCACGTCGAAGTACAAGGTTTTGTGATCCAAGAAGAGCTTAGCCAAGAGGCAGAGGTTCTGGCAGTAGACTTTGTGGTCTTTGCCGTCCACTTCATACACCGAGATGTTGTTCTTTCTATAGATTTCTTTCCCTGGTGGCTGCCTCCACTGACACAGGCCCTTGACCAAAAGAAAACAATCCATATGTTACACGGCATCTAGAAGGCTAGATTCACAGCTTACCATCCATTGAATTTATTGGAAACACATGAATGTGCTTTTTCATAGGCTGCTATGCATTAGGACATGTATTGATATGCAAAGTACACTGCGTCACACTATGCATTGACATGTGTATGGAACAGGGGCGGACTGACAACTCATGGGGCCCCCGGGCAATAGGGGATCATGGGGCCCGTGTTCTTGGCCAAACTCAAAAAAGCCTATGAAAAAGGTACCAGGGGCATCTCATGGGGCCCCCTTACTGACCCCGGGCCCTCGGGCAGTGCCCGAGTTTCCAAATGGTCAGTCCGCCCCTGGTATGGAAGAGTTTCTATTGACTTCAATCAAAAATAAATCAGCAAAAAATGCACCAAAGTGAAAGGCTCTCTATCAATGTGGCTACTCTGCTTCATTCACTTGAGTGTAGACTACCGCTTTAGCTGAAAAGCTGAGAAAACAGCAAAAAATGTGAAAACGAGATAAAAGCCCCACCTGCTGGCTGGAGAAAAGACTGCATAATATTACATTGCAAAATCTTTGAGTTTGCCACCCTCTGTTTTCAGAAAAATTTGTCCAGGCAAGGCCATTAGGTTCATTTAACTACTTGCCCTCCAGAGGATTTACTCCCCTCTACCTGACCATCCCGGCCATTTTTTGTGATACGACCAGGGGCGTATTAACCACACGGCAAACAAGGCATTTGCCTAGGGCAGCATTTTTCAGGGGGGCCCCCTACAGCCCCTCAAAAGGGCTACGTTTAGTATTCCAGGAGACCTACAGCACACATAGGGCCGCAGACAGCATTCCAGGCCCCCTACAGTCCCACAAAAAGGGCCATATATAGTATTCCAGGTAACTGTTAGTGTCTACAGAGATACAGTATGTGTACAGCATTCCAGGTGACCTGAAGCCTGTAAAAGGCCATGGACAGCATTCCAGGTGACCTGAAGCCTGTAAAAGGCCATGGACAGCATTCCAGGTGACCTGAAGCCTGTAAAAGGCCATGGACGATATTCCAGGTGACCTGAAGCCTGTAAAAGGCCATGGACGGTATTCCAGGTGACCTGAAGCCTGTAAAAGGCATGGACGGTATTCCAGGTGACCTGAAGCCTGTAAAAGGCCATGGACAGCATTCCAGGTGACCTGAAGCCTGTAAAAGGCCATGGACAGCATTCCAGATGACCTGAAGCCTGTAAAAGGCCATGGACAGCATTCCAGGTGACCTGAAGCCTGTAAAAGGCCATGGACAGCATTCCAGATGACCTGAAGCCTGTAAAAGGCCATGGACAGCATTCCAGGTGACCTGAAGCCTGTAAAAGGCCATGGACAGCATTCCAGGCCACCTACAACAGTCAGGAAACCCTTACCAGATGGTAGCGATACGTTTTCTCATACTTCATGTATTTCAGGCAGTACTCGCACACCCAGAGCTTTGGCTGCTTTCCGTAATCCTCTGGGAAGGGAGAGAAGTACCATGCATCAATCTCATAATTGCCAATGTGAATCTTGTCCACATATTTCACTTTTGTGATCTGAGAAAAGAACAAAAAAAAACAAAAAAACTTAAAACTGCTGCAAACTCAATAGAGATGACAGAGCAGCACTCCCACGCACATTGAGAAATCATTGGCATATGAAACTCACCGCTTCGTGTTCCTTCTCCAATGCAGCCGTGGTCGGATCCATCTCTGCATAAGTCTGGAAAGAGATTGGAAAGTCATTAGCGCTGCCCTAATCATAGTCAGTGGTGAGGCACCATCTGCGCCATTTGCACTTTCTTTTAGCTTTGGCTATGATGTGGAAGGATTAGACCCTCTGTCAGGTCTTTATTGCAGTCTCTGCCCCCACTGGGGGGGGGGGGGGGGGGGGCGCTCACTCTCTCGATTTTTCCTGGTGACTAGGGATGCACCGAAACATATTGTCCAAAAATATCTATCTATTTAGCCGATACAGGAGACTGGGGCAGTGAAGAAAGGCAGGAGAGGAGCAGTGTATACAGTGACTGGCTGTCACTATATGTCACTGCCGGTTTTTAAATGTAACTACCGGCTTTTTTTTTTCTTCAATAAAGCTCAGAGAATCAGTGGTCACTTTCCCCCCAGCTAAAAGAAATAAAGTTTCCTTTTAGTTTCTTTCCTGAGATAAAAGAAACAAAGTTTCCTTTAGCTCCAGGGAAAGTGACAGCTAATTCTGTGAGCTATAGAGAAGAAGAAAAAAAAAAAGCCAGTAACTGCATTTTAAAAACATCGGCACCGACATTTAGTGACAGCCAGTGAGGGAGCCTCTGTATACACTGCTCCTGTCCTGCCCCCTCCTCGTACACACTGCCCCCCACCCCCTACAAAGAGGACCTGTCACTCATATGGCATCACATAGAGGACTATTGGTCCCCTATGAGATAGCAATAAAATCAGAGGTTAAAATAAATAAATATATATATACATGAAAGTAGAAAAAAAAAAATGGAGCCTCCCCCCCCCCCCCCCACATACACAGACATTTCGGTTTTCAGCCACATGCATTCTGAATTTTCGGTATCGGCACCAGAATTTTCATTTCAGTGCACCAATACTAGAGACCATTGTTCAAAGGGAAATATTACAGTTGTCCAAAGGAACAGGAAGACGGGAAATCTTCCAGTGGGTACACCTGTTCCTGGTGACAACTGCCCCATATTTAGAAGGACTCGTCCTCCATGGAGCTCTGGTCATCTGTCTTCTGGATTTCAGGAATTCGGCTCTATGGCACGGGTTCCTCACCTTCTGAACATGATTAATCTCGTCATGCTTCCTCTTCTGATTTCTGGTGATCTTCCTCTCAGGTTGCTCGGACAGTTCATTCAGGTACTGGTCTGTGTTTTTCTGAACGGCGTCCTTCGCCGTCTTGGTCAGCGCCAACCGGTTCTTGTCCACCCATTCATCCAACCGCCTGTTAACTACAGAGGATACAAAGACTGGCTGAGGCTCGTGAAAAGAAGTCTCAGGTTCTAACTTCATAAAGATCATTTTTCTAAAAGAGTAGAAAGAGGATATATTGCAAACTATGGGGATGACGAATTAAAACTGGAAGCACAAAATCTGGTGGATGGCAGCCAATCAGCTTCTAACTTCAGCTTGTTCAATTAATCTTTGACAAAAAAAAACCTGGAATCTGATTGGTTTCTATGCAGAGCTGCACCAGTTCGCACTTCCAGTTTTAGGAAATAACCCCAAACTTTTTAATTACTTTTATTCAGTTTATTGAGCTTTTTTTGTTAGTCCATTATTTCTTTTTTTTAATGTTCTGTAGAAAGCAGTTAAAGCCCATCTTGTGCAAAACATGACCCCCCCCCCCCCCCCCACACACACACACACACACACACACACACACACACACACACACACACACACACACCCCCTCAGGTCCCTCTCCAATTTATCCTGCAATTTTTTTTATTTTCCTTGTGAAGAAAGTCTGCCAGGTCCCTGGCCAGTGCCGTTTCCAGGCACTTCTGTCCTATCTATTCTTGATCCTGAGAGGACCCTATTGCTGGACAGCCAATTGGAAGTAGCCACATCATGCAGGCAGTCACGTGTATACCTGAAGAAGGACCCCATCTTATGTATACAGAACATGAAAGAAGACTCAGGACTGGATGTCATGTAACCGCAACTTTGGTAAGCAAATGGGAATTGAGTTTCTTCTCGCTATCAAGATGGAGGAGCACAGCGGCAGCCTGGAGATGGGCTTCAGCCACAAAGGCACAACTTGGTATGCAAGTGGAAATATATCACGTGCAAGTTCTATGAGCAACCCGTTTCTATTACTGTAAGGACTTGTTTGATCTGCAGTGCCCCATGAAGAGCGATCTGTGCTCACCTGTCCCGCGATCCAGCGCTGTGCTCACCGCAGATGTTTTCACCTCTTTCCCCAGCATTTTAACCCTGGGCACCCGGCTGTGACAGCTTGTGGCCCAGTGTGCATGTGCGAGCCGTACTGCGCACTGTGAATGGTCCCGCAGTCTTCTGGGACCTGCAATATGTCCCAGAAGACTGCAGGGAGGAGAGCTTCCGCTCCCATTGCCTAGCCGAAAATCAGGTGGCTGCCCTCTCCCCAAAACTGCCATTTTATAAACAGGAGCGGGGGAGGAGGCGTTAAAGCGGAACTTCCACTTTTGGGTGAGGCTCTGCTTTACACTCAAAGACCACACCGCCATGTCACACCTGTATGCACTGCACATGTCTGCAGTGCGGCCCAATTCAAGGGAATGAGTTGTGTTCAGCAGGTGTTACTGCCTGTCGTGTGCAGCAGAGGGATGACTTTTTTCTGCATCACAATGTAAAGCATTGTGACCCGTCTACACCCCAGTCTGCTGCCTTTGCACCTTAAGGGGGGGGCTTTTTAACCGCCCTTCCCAACCAGAAGTGTAAGGCCTGGTTCACACTGATGCCATTAGAGAGGCGACTTGGGCCAATGGAAATAACATTGCTTCCAATGGAGCCTGTTCACATCAATGCAGTGTAGCTGCAATGCATCTTTGGGAAAGGGTCCCGTACTATGCGATTTACAGTGCATTTCTGCCCACAGAAGATGCAAACTACGTCCAAAATGCGACCAAAGTCGCACTACATAATCGCACTTCAAATCAAGTCAAAATCACATCCAAGTAATGTGAACGGAGCCTGAATGAGGCCTGAAAAAGGTATTTGTCAAACCATAAAGAAACAAGACAAAACAGGTATATAATCAACATGAAAGTTGTATCAAGTCTTCCAATAATGAGCTGTTGGTGGTCCTTGTGCACAGTGGATGATAAAACATCTGCTAGTCTGGGGAAGATATTGGGCTTGGCTCATCGATTAGCTGGGACACCGGAATGATCCCTTTTCATAGAAGGGAATGTGTTGCACCCATTTCCTTGCACCTCAGACTTGGATTGCAATCCTGTTTTCAAGAGACAAATCCAGAAAGACTTCTGTAGCTGTACCTGCAGGCCCCTAGAGGTGTATATATAGTATAGTGGGGGTCGAATCTATACTATCCAGAAAGACTTCTGTAGCAAGTGTGGGTTGAATCTCATGACTGATCCAGAAAGACTTCTGTAGCTGTACCTGCAGGCCCCTAGAGGTGTATATAGTATAGTATATATAAGTGTGGGTCGAATCTCATGACTGATCCAGAAAGACGTCTGTAGCTGTACCTGCAGGTCCCTAGGTGTATATAGTATATATAAGTGGGGGTCGAATCTCATGACTGATCCAGAAAGACGTCTGTAGCTGTACCTGCAGGCCCCTAGAGGTGTATATAGTATATATAAGTATGGGTCGAATCTCATGACTGATCCAGAAAGACGTCTGTAGCTGTACCTGCAGGCCCCTAGAGGTGTATATTATTATTATTATACAGGATTTATGGCGCCGACAGTTTGCTCAGCGCTTTACATTATGGAGGGAGACAATACAGTAACAATACAAGAGGGATTAGAGGGCCCTGGTCCTTGGAGCTTACAATCTAGGAGGGAGGGGATAGTGGTACAAGAGGTAATTAGCTGTGGGGGATGGAGTGGTAGGAAGAGTAGAGGATTCCAGTATTAGCTGGGGTCGGGATAGGCTTCCCTGAAGAGATGGGTTTTTAGAGTGCACCTAAAAGTGAGCAGAGTAGGCGATAGCCTGATAGATTGGGGTAGGGAGTTCCAGAGGATGGGTGAAGCCCTTGAGAAATCCTAGAGACAGGTATGGGAGGAGGAGACAAGGGAGCTACAGAGTAGGAGGTCATGCGAGGAGCGGAGAGTACGGTTTGGGTGGCATTTAGAGACAAGATCGGTGATGTAATTTGGGGGGAGAGTTTAAATGGCTTTATACGTCAGTGTTAGTGTTTTGAACTTTATCCGTTGGGCAATGGGAAGCCAGTGGAGGGATTGGCAGAGAGGGGTGGCAGATACAGAGCGGTTAGTAAGGTGAATGAGTCTGGTAGCAGCATTCATGATGGACTGGAGTGGGGATAGCCTGCGATGAGGTAGGCCAATGAGGAGGGAGTTGCAGTAGTCCAGGCGTAATATGAGGGAGTGAATGAATTGCTTTGTGGTTTCCGGGGTTAGGAACGGTCGTATCCTGGAGATGTTGCGGAGGTGAAGTCTACATGATTTTGTCAGCGATTGGACCTGGGGCTGAAAGGACAGATTGGAGTCTAGGATGACACCTAGTACCCTGGCGTGAGGGGTGGGACTGATGATAGTGTTGTTGATCTTGATGGAGAAGTCAGGGGGGGGGCACAGGCTGTGGGGAATACTAGGAGCTCAGTTTTGAAAAGGTTGAGTCTGAGGGAGTGGAGTGACATCCAATCCGATATGTCACTTAGTTGGCTGGTGATGCGATTGGAGACTGAGGGGGTGAGGGGAGGGGTAGAGAGATAGATTTGTGTGTCGTCAGCATAGAGATGGTAGTTGAAGTCGTGAGAGTTTATCAAATGGCCAAGGGAGGAGGTGTAGATGGAGAAGAGAAGGGGCCCGAGGACAGAACCTGGAGGGACCCCAACAGAGAGAGGGAGTGAAGAGGAGGAGGCAGCGTTATAGGGAATGCTGAAGGAGCGCTGCGATAGATAGGAGGAGAACCAGGAGAGCAGAGTCTCAGAGGGCAAGAGAGTGCAGTTTTTTGAGGGAGGAGGGGTGGTCAACCGTGTCAAAAGCCACAGAGAGGTCATGTAGGAGTATAGTATAGTGGCCATTGGTTTTGGCAGTAAGTAGATCATAGTAGGGCAGTTTTGGTGGAGTGTAGGGGGCGGAGGCCGGACTGTAGAGGATCGAGAAGGTTGTTGTCGGTGAGGTGGGAGCTCAGGCGATTGTAGACTCAGCGTTCTAGTTTAGAGGTAAATGGCAGCAGGGAGATGGGTCTTAAGTTGTCCAGGTTGGTGGGGTCCAGGGAGGGCTTCTTAAGTATGGGAGTGATGTGTGCTTTAGAGGGGAGGGGAAAGTGCCAGTGGAGAGGGAAAGATTGAAGATGTGAGTGAGGGAGCATAGGATGGAAGAGGAGGGGGACTGCAGGAGGTGTGAGGGGACAGGGTCCAGAGGGCAGGTGGTGAGGCGGGCTTCTGAGAAAATCTTAGTGACCTCTTCAGTGGTAGTGAGGTCAAGGGAGAAAAGTGTTGAGGGGGTTATTGTGTGAGGAGTGCTGAGTGGGGTGGGTGTCTGAGCAGTGGCGAAGTCCATAGTATTGCGTATATAGTATATATAAGTGTGGGTCGAATCTCATGCCAGATCCAGAAAGACTTCTGTAGCTGTACCTGCAGGCCCCTAGAGGTGTATATAGTATACAGTGGGGATCGAAAGTTTGGGCACCCCAGCTAAAAATTTGTATTAATGTGCATAAAGAAGCCAAGGAAAGATGGAAAAATCTCCAAAAGGCATCAAATTACAGATTAGACATTCTTATAATATGTCAACAAAAGTTAGATTTTATTTCCATCATTTACACTTTCAAAATAACAGAAAACAAAAAAATGGCGTCTGCAAAAGTTTGGGCCCCCTGCAGAATTTATAGCATGCACTGCCCCCTTTGCCATGCTGAGACCTGCCAGTGTCATGGATTGTTCTCAATCATCGTCTGGGAAGACCAGGTGATGTCAATCTCAAAGGTTTTAAATGCCCAGACTCATCTGACCTTGCCCCAACAATCAGCACCATGGGTTCTTCTAAGCAGTTGTCTAGAAAACTGAAACTGAAAATAGTTGACGCTCACAAAGCTGGAGAAGATAGCAAAGCGTTTTCAGGTGTCAATATCCTCTGTTCGGAATGTAATTAAGATATGGCAGTCATCAGGAACAGTGGAAGTTAAAGCAAGATCTGGAAGACCAAGAAAAATATCAGACAGAACAGCTCGCAGGATAGTGGGAAAAACAATTCAAATCCCACGTTTGACTGCACGATCCCTCCAGAAAGATCTGGCAGACACTGGAGTTGTGGTACACTATTCCACTATAAAGAGATACTTGTACAAATATGGTCTTCATGGAAGAGTCATCAGAAAGAAAACCTTTTCTACGTCCTCACCACAAAAATCATCGTTTGAACTTTGCAAATGAACATATAGACAAGCCTGATGCATTTTGGAAACAAGTTCTGTGGACCGATGAGGTTAAAATTGAACGTTTTGGCCGGAATGAGCAAAGGTACGTTTGGAGAAGAAGGGGCACAGAATTGAATGAAAAGAACCTCTGTCCAACTGTTAAGCATGGGGTTGGATCAATCATGCTTTGGGGTTGTGTTGCAGCCAGTGGCACAGGGAGCATCTCACGAGTAGAAGGAAAAATGGATTCAATAAAATTTCAGCAAATTTTGGATGTTAACTTGATGCCATCTGTGAAAAAGCTGAAGTTAAAGAGAGGATGGCTTCTACAAATGGATAATGATCCTAAACACACCTCGAAATCCACGGGGGATTACATCAAGAGGCGTAAACTGAAGGTTTTGCCATGGCCTTCACAATCTCCTGACCTCAACATAATTGAAAATCTATGGATAGACCTTAAAAGAGCAGTGCGTGACAGACAGCCCAGAAATCTCAAAGAACGGGAAGACTTTTGTAAGGAAGAATGGGCAAAGATACCTCAAACAAGAATTGAAAGACTCTTGGCTGGCTACAAAAAGCGTTTACAAGCTGTGATACTTGCCAAAGGGGGCAGTACAAGATATTAACTCTGCAGGGTGCCCAAACTTTTGCAGACGCCATTTTTTTTTGTTTTCTGTTATTTTGAAAGTGTAAATGATGGAAATAAAATCTAACTTTTGTTGACATATTATAAGAATGTCTAATCTGTAATTTGATGCCTTTTGGAGATTTTTCCATCTTTCCTTGGCTTCTTTATGCACAATAATACAAATTTTTAGCTGGGGTGCCCAAACTTTCGATCCCCACTGTATATAAGTGTGGGTCGAATGTCATGCCAGAACAGAGCAGGAGGAGAATACAGATCAGATACGTCAGCAATACTTACAGCCCACATAATGTACATAGAACTCCTCTCGCCCTTCCTGTTCATTCAGCCGGGATTGGATGACTTCTGCCGAATCTGATGAGAAGACACACCAGTCACACACGGGGTCCCCACAATGCATTGCGCAGCAGATCAGCAATCTGGTGACATACTTACGCCAAGTGTTGTCTGCTCTCCGGCACAGGTAAGTCTCCCCGATCTCCACAGTCACCTCGGGATCTCTGACACCTCCGGCTGAGATACCGGTGTCACATCTGGACAGAACCTCATCGTCATCCTCCTCTTTAACACTTCCGTGCTCCAGCCCATCCTCTTGGGAGGGGAGAGCGTCATGTTGATTCTCGCCGACCGCCATGGTCTCCAACTTGTGTTCTTCAGGAATGGAATTGTCCATGGCTCCACCAGGACCTGAGGGAAGAGGACTATCAGCTGCTTGGATGCACATTTGTGGTCTTTGCCCTAGTGGAGATGCTAGCCTGTCCTTAAAGCAGTTTTAAACCCAAATTCAAAAATGGCACATGTTGCAGCTTACCAATCATTCCATGTGGCGGCTGCATTAGTTTTCCTTTTTTAGGCTTTTCTCCCCTCTATTTTCATCTGGTGATCTGGCCAGTAAACACACCTCCTGAATTGGAGCGCCCCCAGTCTAAATGAAGGAGTATAGGGGTCACCTTCAGACAGCAGCATTAGCATTCTGGGGGGAGGGGAGCGGTAGACTAGCAGATTTAAATAAACTAACAAATTGAAGCAAACTACAGCTAATACTTTATAGGCAGTCATGGCAACAGTTTATTTTTCTTTCGGGATAAAAATGTTACATAAATATATAAAAGCCGATCACTGTAAGCATCCCTGTCAATGGCCAATGGTTTGTTTCCTCTCTGTAATGGATAGATCTGCAAGAGAGCTTGTTCTTTTGAAAAACAACAGACTTACTGGCTAGATCACCAGATGAAAATGGCCTAAAAGAGTCATCACATCTAAGAATTAATAAGCTGCAATATAATAAATGTTTGTTTTGGGTTGAATACATCTTTAACTAACATATCAGAGTTGATTGGGTGCTGGAGATTTTAAGTGGCTATAATCCACAGACATGAAATATGAACAAAGCATATCCCTCTATAGTGTAGACTTGTCTCAGTCCGGAGCACTAAGTGTCATTTCTGTCTGCTGCCTCCTTCCTCTGCCATCTGAAGGAGTCACTTCTGAGTCTTCCAACACCAAGAGAAAAAAGGTGATGGAGGAGGGACCTTTAGCACACCGCCTGTGATTGACAGCCTCAGCTCTGTTCCTGTGTGCAGGGGGGAATCTCTTCCCTCCGATCAGCAATCAGCGCTCTTCTCACGGAGCTCTGCAGTGTGTAATTTCAGCTTCCCACCAGTTTTCTGACAGCTCAGACAAGCTTTATAAATTCAGCATTTGAACAGATGAAGGAGGATGTTTATCACCTGAGGCCAGTCACTTCACTGGGTATATGGAAGAGTCACTTTCACTCACCATTCAGCTCTCAATTCTCTACAGCACAGCAAAGTGCAGCATAGAGACGGAGACTCGGTACTTATGGTGTGTGTAGGAGTTGGTTGGACCCTCGTGGAGATAGAAGAAGCCAGTGGGTGAGGCAGCCCACATAGCCCACCTATACCTCAATTGCCGTGTTTGGGGTTGGCCCATCAGGACACACATATGAAGGATGAGATTGCCGGCAACCCTCTGTGCATACTAGTCTTCTGGCTCCTCCAATGGCTTCATTGCTTTGAGTCACCAACGGAGACCGAGGATGAAGAGTAACAATATAATTCCTGATCTACACACTTGTTACAGGTCAGCGATGCCAAGTACTGAAGCTGGAGGATCGGGGTTACAGGTCAGCGATGCCAAGTACTGAAGCTGGAGGATCGGGGTTATAGGTCAGTGATGCCAAGTACTGAAGCTGGAGGATCGGGGTTACAGGTCACCGATGCCAAGTACTGAAGCTGGAGGATCGGGGGGTTTACGGGTCCGTGATGCCAAGTACTGAAGCTGGAGGATCGGGGTTACAGGTCAGCGATGCCAAGTACTGAAGCTGGAGGATCGGGGGGGTTACGGGTCCGTGATGCCAAGTACTGAAGCTGGAGGATCGGGGTTACAGGTCAGCGATGCCAAGTACTGAAGCTGGAGGATCGGGGGGTTACAGGTCAGTGATGCCAAGTACTGAAGCTGGAGGATCGGGGTTATAGGTCAGTGATGCCAAGTACTGAAGCTGGAGGATCGGGGTAAAAGGTACTAAGCTAGGATCGGGGGGTTACGGGTCCGCGATGCCAAGTACTGAAGCTGGAGGATCGGGGTTACAGGTCAGCGATGCCAAGTACTGAAGCTGGAGGATCGGGGGGTTACAGAGGTCAGCGATACCAAGTACTGAAGCTGGAGGATCAGGGTTACAGGTCAGCGATGCCAAGTACTGAAGCTGGAGGATCGGGGTTACAGGTCAGCGATACCCTGAAAGTAGGTCTGAAGCTGGAGATGGAGGATCAGGGGGTTACAGGTCAGTGATGCCAAGTACTGAAGCTGGAGGATTGGGGTTACAGGTCAGTGATGCCAAGTACTGAAGCTGGAGGATCGGGGTTACAGGTCAGTGATGCCAAGTACTGAAGCTGGAGGATCGGGGTTACAGGTCAGTGATGCCAAGTACTGAAGCTGGAGGTTTGGGGTTACAGGTCAGCGATGCCAAGTACTGAAGCTGGAGGATCGGGGTTACAGGTCAGTGATGCCAAGTACTGAAGCTGGAGGTTTGGGGTTACAGGTCAGCGATGCCAAGTACTGAAGCTGGAGGTTTGGGGTTACAGGTCAGCGATGCCAAGTACTAAAGCTGGAGGATCGGGGTTACAGGTCAGCGATGCCAAGTACTGAAGCTGGAGGATCGGGGTTACAGGTCAGCGATGCCAAGTACTGAAGCTGGAGGATTGGGGTTACAGGTCAGTGATGCCAAGTACTGAAGCTGGTGGATCGGGGTTATAGGTCAGTGATGCCAAGTACTAAAGCTGGTGGATCGGGGTTACAGGTCACCGATGCCAAGTACTGAAGCTGGAGGATCGGGGGGTTACGGGTCGGGTCCGGGATGCCAAGTACTGAAGCTGGAGGATCGGGGTAAAAGGCAAACAATTATCTATTTCAGAGGTCAGCTTCGGGTTTATCCCAGGACAGGTTTTCATTAACAGTAAGTTGGTAAAAATAAAGAACATTTTGTTGCCTGTGTACTGCACGGTGGGTCTGCGGGTGCGGGTGCGGGTCTGCGGGTGCGGGTCTGCGGGTACGGGTATGGGTCCGGTGGGTACGGGTGCGGGTGCGGGTCTGCGGGCCGGTCTGCGGGTGCCGGTCTGCGGGTACGGGTATGGGTCTGTGGGTACGGGGTCTGCGGGTGCCGGTCTGCGTACGGGTGCGGGTACGGGTCTGCGGGTGCCGGTCTGCGGTGCGGGTATGGGCCTGCGGGCGCAGGTGCTGTCTGGTCTGCGGGTGCCGGTCTGTGGGTGCGGGTCTGCGGGCGGGTCTGCCGCTACGGGTCTGCGGGTGCGGGTCTGCCGGTACGGGTCTGTGGGTGCGGGTCTGCCGGTACGGGTCTGTGGGTGCGGGTCTGCCCGGTACGGGTCTGTGGGTGCGGGTCTGCCCTTGAAGATCAATAAAATAGTTGAGGCCAAAAGTCTTCTAAGACATAATCAGCTCCCTGCAGAACATTTCAAAGAATTCTGATTAGACAAACAAAAGTATAAAGGCCAATCCCCACAGAAAGAACAGATTGATGTTGATTCAAAATGTCAACATAGAAACCGTACAAGGATGTGGGATGTCAGACTGACGAGCTAATCCAGATAAAACCACCGGGGAGCGTGGGAAGAGAAACACGCCTCATCTACACACAGAGCGTGTGCCCCACACAGTACCGGGAGATCCCTGCAAATCACCAAACAGAATACAGCGTGTAATCACCGAGAGACCACCAGAGCCTAGGGACCGACTGAGAACATAGCATGTCGGTATAAAGCTGGACTCTGGGCACATCCACTGCACTACCCTCCCCTCCCCACAAACTCCACTGCACTACCCTCCCCACAATCCACTGCACTACCCTCCCCTCCCCACAATCCACTGCACTACCCTCCCCTCCCCCCCCACAATCCACTGCACTACCCTCCCCACAATCCACTGCACTACCCTCCCCTCCCCACAATCCACTGCACTACCCTCCCCTCCCTCCCCACAATCCACTGCACTACCCGCCCCTCGCTGCCCCAGAATTCACTGCACTACTACCCTCCCCTCCCTGCCTCACAATCCACTGTACTCCCCTCCCTGCCCCACAATCCACTGCACTCCCCTCCCCTCGCTGTCCCCCCAGAATCCACTGCACTACCCTCCCCTCGCTGTCCCAGAATCCACTGCACTACCCTCCCCTCGCTGTCCCAGAATCCACTGCACTACCCTCCCCTCGCTGCCCAAGAACTTGTCCATTGGTGTTGCAGTGTCTCTGCTCTCCTGTCATTCCTTGTTGGGTCATTGTTCCCTTCTCCTTTTGGACATTTGACCGCCGGAGAAGTGTGTGAGGTATGGAAAAAAAGAAGAGTGAGAGACCTCTCCCCCCTCCCGGCCATCGCCATCGTTCCTCTCTCTCTCTCCTCCCCCCCTCCCGGCCATCGCTCCCTCTCTCTCTTCCCCCCCCCCGGGCCATCGCTCCCTCTCTCTTCCCTCCCCCCCGGGCCATCGCTCCCTCTCTCTCCCCCCTCCCCCCGGGCCATCGCTCCCTCTCTCTTCCCTCCCCCCCCCCCGGGCCATCGCTCCCCCCTCTCTCTCTCTCTCTCCCCTCCCCCCGGGCCATCGCTCCCTCTCTCTTCTCCCCCCCCCCGGGCCATCGCTCCCTCTCTCTTCTTCCCCCCCCAGGGCCATCGCTCCCCCTCTCTCCCCCCCCCCCCCGGGCCATCGCTCCCTCTCTCTTCTCCCCTCCCCCCCGGGCCATCGCTCCCTCTCTCTTCTCCCCCCCCCCGGGCCATCGCTCCCTCTCTCTTCTCCCCCCGGGCCATAGCTCCCTCTCTCTTCCCCCCCCGGGCCATCGCTCCCTCTCTCTCCCCCCCGGGCCATCGCTCCCTCTCTCTCCCCTCCGGGCCATCGCTCCCTCTCCTCCCCTCCGGGCCATCGCTCCCTCTCTCTCCCCCCCCCGGGCCATCGCTCCCCTCTCTCTCTCCCCCCCCCCGGGCCATCGCTCTCCTCTCTCGGGCCATCGCTCCCCTCTCAAACTCCCCCCCCCCGGCCATCGCCCCCCCTCTCTCCTCCCCCCCCCCCGGGCCCTAACCCCTCCCCCCCCCCCCCGGGCTCTCTACCCCTCTCTCTTCCCCCCCCCGGGCTCTCTACCCCTCTCTCTCCCCC